CGGTGGCGGCAGAGACGCCGCCAGACGGGCTTGGGCGCTTCCTGCTTCACTGCGTGCAGCGCTGAGCTCTCACCAGGTTCCTTCCACGCAGCGATGCTGCTAGTGGGACGTGGGGCTGCTGGTGAGCTTGGGCTGCTCCGCTGGCAGTGCAGAATGGCGTGAGCGCAGATGCAGAGGGAGGGGGACGGTGCAGAAGGAGGAGAGGTCGGATGGGAGGCGTTTGCCAATCAGACGTGGCAAGGAGGGCACCCAGCAGCTTGTGAATCCATCTGGGAAAGAAACCTCTGTGCAGGTCCCCGGGCAGGTAACCCTGCGCAGGTGAGAGCTTCAGCTGTGAGAGCAGTGTGGGCAGGTTGTCACCCCCGTGGGGCAAGGTCTGCCCTGGGCCTCGCAGGGAGGGCAGAGACGGGCCCCTACCCACCAGTGAGCTCCGCTCTCTGCTCCGAGTTACTACATGTTGTGCCACGGCTTCGTGGCAAGTAGTGCGTCCGAGGGGTCGGGCTGCCTGCGATGTGTCCCCCACGCCTCTAAAGGCGATGGGCTCTTTGGCTTGAAGCCGGGGAGGGACCTGCTTGCAGAGAGGGGTGAGTAATGGCCCAGGAATTTTGACAAGCTGGCAAAACTCATTTGGCCGATTGCCTTCTCCTGTTCGCGCTGCGGGTCTGGCCAGCCTGGCGTATCTCGTGTGCATGTCAAAGTAAGCCCTTCCTCTCTGTGCCGTGTGGACCCTCTTGCTCTCTTTGCTGTATCATGAAGCAGAAGAAAATTAACCTAGATTATTTAGGAGCACCGTTGGTACTGCAGAGAGCTCTGCTTGACTGCAGGGGGATGAGACGGGAGCTGTTGCTGTCGGGGATTTGGCTGCAGAGCTCGCTGTGTCTTGCTGGGAGTTGAGGGAGCCTGGCTCCGGCGCAGGAGAGGTGCTTTGCTCGCTCTGGCGAGTGTGCGTTGGATGCTTAGGCATGGGTTTGATTCTTCCCAGGCTTCTGCGTGAAACCAGCTGAGTTGGAGTTTCAAAGGCACAAGGGAGCGGCTGCATGGGGTGCTCCTGCGTGTGCTTCCCTGTCGTACAGCCACGGGGAAGCCTTCTGAGGTGAGATAGGTGTATTTTGGGGCTGCCTGGCTGTGCTGCCCACTTTGACTCTGCAGACCAACAGACTGCAACACAGTTTTCATATCAGAAAAATGTAAACGCTCTGAAGATGGAGTCCTAGCGTAGGCCGGTAGGAAACAAGGCTTAAAAAGATGCAGGAGTGAGGCTTTGCTCAGATGCCCTAACAGAGGAGTTTCCTTGGGGAAGGGGCTGTCAGGGTAACAGCCTGTGCTCCAGCGCTCGACGGATGAAGGTCTGCCTCTCCGTCCAACTAAGCTCTGTGTGCTCTCTCCCCAGGGACTGTCACTAGCCCATCCGTTGCCCTGACTCTTGCCCTTGGAGGAAGCCAGTCATGGGGGAAACGGGCAAAGAAGAGTATAAAATACAGTCGTTCGACACCGAGACTCAGAAGCTGCTGAAAACAGCCCTCAAAGGTCAGCAGGCTTTTTACTAGCTCCTCTGCCCTGTGCAGCTTGGCTGGCAGATGCGGTTGGAGACTTGGACCCCTTTAAGGAACACCAATTGTGAAGCGTAGAAAAGCTGTTTCATAAACATTGTTGATCCCTGACTGGGTGCCGTTGGTGATTCTTCTCCAGGAAGGTCTTTGCTCCCTGCCTCTCCTTGCCCCCTCTCACCTTCTCCCCAGGGTTTAATGGTGCAGCTGTTCAAACTCAGCTCCTGGTTCTCATCGTTGGGGTTTCCTCTGATTTCACGGTACCCTCCTCTCCTGCTCTGACCCAGCATCTCTGCCCAGACGTGGCCTCTCACCCCTCTCCAGTGCCCAGTTCCTGTTCCCTGTCTCTCCCCGCTGCAGGGCCATCTCATCCTCCCGGCCCCCCAGGTCTCCTGCTCACCGGTCACGTCTCTGTTCAAAGCTCAGCGGGAGTTGGCACATCTGGCTCCTGCTAACCCAACCTTGAAGCAGTGCTGGGATTTCACATTCAGATCAGCTTCTTGCTTCCTGTATTATCTGCTTTCCTCCATCGCTTTCCTGTCGTGATGGCCGTGTCTCCAGCCTGGGAGGACCGTGCACCACTGGAGATGGTATCTCCAAAGCAGCTGATGTGTGAGAGGGGCTGTGACTCCTGATGTGGGAGTGAGCCTGAGGTTTTGCACCATACACCGTGGCTGTACCAGGCCCTGCGCCGACTTTGGTTGCTTTCCAGGTACCCCAGAGCAAGCGGGGCACAAGGGTGCTGGATCCTGACAGTGTTTCTCCTCTCTGCAGACCCCAGCAATGTGGACCTGGAGAAAGTGGCCAATATTATAGTGGACCAGTCCCTCAAAGACTGTGTGTTCAGCAAGGAGGCAGGGCGCATCTGCTACACCATCATCCAGGTGAGAGCTCCTCGCGTCCAGACAGTGAAACACTGAAGCTGTGCGGGTTGTCCCTAGGCCGGGCCAGGAGAGGCTTTGCCCCACCCCTGCGCTCTGACCCCTCTGCCAGCTTTCCTCTTCTGCCACTTGCCCCACGCAGTGGCAGCATCCAGCCGAGCAGCCGGTGAGCACCGGCAGTTAGTTGCAGCTTTCCTGCCTCTCTGAGCAATCACAGGAGGGTATCTGCGCAGTCCTGCGTCACCCAAGTAGCAGCATCCCCCTGTGTCCCTCACCCCCCCATTTCATCCCTCCGTCCTGCTTTTGTGGGCTCGTAGGCGGAGAGCAAACAAGTCGGCCAGAGCATCTTCCGGAGGAGCCTACTGAACCGGCTGCAGCAGGAGTACAAGGACAGGGAGGAGCTGCGTACCCGCTCGCTCCAGGCATGGATCTGCTACGTCACCTTCATCTGCAACATCTTCGACTACCTGAGGGTAAGGAGCTGGAGCAGGAGCCCCTGGCTGCTGCTGCCGAGGGGGCCCAGAAGGGCCTGGGTGTCCAAAGATGCCAGGGCAGGGGTGTTGGATGGGTCTCGTACGGAGCCCCGAAGCCGTGCCTCGGCAGTGGGGACCAGAGCCTGTTCACAGCACAAGGATGCTGCCGGGGCTGGTGCTACCTACAGGCGAGCGAACAGGCTTGGAGAGGCAGAGCTGCCTCTGGGAACCATCACAAAGTCTGAGCTTCCTCATTTTGTTCCTGGTGTTTGAAATCCCCTGATTTGCCTGCTCCCAAATGTCCCAGATTGAACTAGTTTAGTTGCCGTGTGGTCTCGGGAGGGACCCCTGGGTGCTCACATCATTTCTAGCCCACGTACTGACGGAGTTTGTGTGCAAGCCTTCACTGCAGTGTGTGTACTTGGATGCCTGCTTGGAGTAGATGTAAAAATTATGCAAGTAGAGCTGCAGGCAGGAAAAATGCAGTTGCAACAAGTGTATTTCCCATGACTACCTGCTTACATTTAAAAATAGATGGGTTTTACATCATTTGTTCAGCTTCTCTGGCTCCTGGAGACTCGAACGTCTGGTCTCCTACATAAATCCCACCAATACGACATTTGGCAGCACAACTAAATTCTGCCCCCTTCTCCTTTGAAGAGCAGCAAGGGAACTATTTAAAATAGCTGCAGGCTCCTCCCTTTCTGGCCCCCAGCTGACGATGGCTCCTGCCTCCTTACAGGTGAACAACATGCCCATGATGGCTCTGGTGAACCCCGTTTACGACTGCCTGTTCCGGCTGGCACAGCCCGACAGCCTGCGGCAGGAGGAAGAGGTGAGTGCAGGCGCCTGTTGTCCTGCCAAGGACCAGCAAAAAGCACAGGGGGGGATGCGGAGGAGGGAGAGCTGCCTCTCTGGTGTGCGCTGAAGGAGACCGGCTGGGCAGGAGGGTTTGCAGCCCGGAAGGAAGCAGGATGGAGGGGCAGGTGGTGACTCCCTGTCCCAGGCTGCACGCCCTCCCTCGGGGCAGCTTTTCTCCCCGTTGCCCCAGTGTGGTCACCGGAGAGCCAGCGGCCCAGCCGTCCCTCGAAGCAGGGGCTGCCCGGTGTTAGGCAGGTTTAGCTCCCATCACGTGAGGAAAAAAAAAACCACAAGACAATGACTCTTCCCCCGTTTTCACAGTAACCAGCTGCTTTTCCAGCAGGCCTGGTTGCCAGACATCTGGAAAAGCAGCTGTCACACCTATCTGTTGAGGCACCGCAGCCGTGGGAGGTGACGGCAGACAGCTGCAGTGACCGTAGGTGTGCAGAGCAGCTCCATGTCCCCGCAGGTCCCAGGGACCTGTGCAACGCTTTGTGTAGCTGCCGCTCACCTGCCCGGGCCTGCAGCCGATGCTGTGCCAGACCCCAGCGGCCTGGAGAAGGTTCTTCTGGAGCTGGAGCTTCACGCACGTCTGGGCAACCTGCGCGGGGCACGGCTGAGTCGCCCCTCAGGCAAGGGGTTGCTGTAAAATGTAGGGGCCCTTGGATGTGCCCTTTGGGGTTTTTTTTTCCATCTTAGCACAACCATCCCACCCCTGCAGCTCATCAACTCTCCCCTCTTCTCCAAAGCCCCAGTTAGTGCCCGTTTCCTGCAAATCACCAGACTTCAAGAGCTTTAGTGCGTTTTCTAACCACTTCCCTCTGTTCTTGGAGGCACCTCCTTGCTCCAGCCTCGCCATCATCTCATGGGCATCCTGCAGGGAATTAAGAGTTTTCTACCTGTTGCGGGTGCGTTTCTCTGGCAAGTTTGTCTGAGAGGCAAGAGAGATCAGGATGTGTTTTTCCAGTGCTTTTCCCAGAAGAGACATTCAGCCTCTCCTGCCTCCTGTCACAGCGACTTGGGGGAAACAGAACTGTCGCCTGTTGGAAATCCCGAACAGAGGGAACAGGATGAGTTGGTCCATAAGTGACTGACGGGGATCTCCGCAGAGAGGAGCTAATGCTCCCTGTTCCTTTGTACTCAGCCATCATCTTCTCTTCCCTCTGAAGGTGGACTGCTTGGTCCTACAGCTCCATCGCATCGGCGAGCAGCTGGAGAAGATGAACTCCCAGAGGATGGATGAGCTCTTCTCCCTCCTCCGGGATGGCTTCCTGCTGCAGGAGGGGCTCAGCTCCCTGTCCCAGCTCCTGCTGCTGGAGATCATCGAGTTTCGGGCTGCTGACTGGAAGATGACGGACGCTGCTCAGAAATACTATTACAGCGAAGTGATGGATTAACCGCTCTACAGAGGAGGTGTAGAGACGTCCCCAGCACTTTCACCAGCAAGCTTCATACCAAGTTTGAATTTCTTTTCACGTTAATGTTTTTCTAGCACTTCCGATAAATAGGATTTATGCTGGCTGGAGCCTCTGGGCATGTAACTGTCAGGCGGCAACCGGTGCTAGGCTGACTGTGGAGGTTTGGAGAGGTGGGGAGGGCAGGGCACATTGCACCAGCAAGCTCTCCCGCTGATTTTGTCTAATATTGGGCTGCTGCCAGCAAAGGGCAAGGAAGGCTTCTAGCTCAAACCAGCATTTTATAATGTGTTAAGGAAAGCAAGAGTTTAGGCCGAGAACATTTTGGTTCACCTCAGAGGCTGCGGGAGGCAGAGGGGAGATCTTTCACAGCTCAGGTTGTACCTGGTTCTCTGGGATAAGTCAGAGAAAACGCCATGGCCTCAGGAACGGCTCAACCAGGTGCTATTTCTCCCAGACTCCTTCCAGTACCTGCACGCACACAGCTTCCCCTGCGGGTCACGAGCCACCGATACCTGCCACAGGGCAGCCTGCAGCAGGAGGGGTCCCTGAGCACACGTAGCTACAAACAGGTTTTATAAGTTTTATACAGTAACCATCACGTTTTTTCAAAAGTTAGCAAGTCTCAACTATGGTATGTTTCTTATAAGAATGGGAGAGGAAGAAAGGAAACAAAATAGTCTATTGAAGATTTTTTTCTAATAAAAGTTTTCCACGAACATGCGCTCTGCTTTCTCTCTACGCAGCTGTTGAGCTATGAACAATACTTAAAAGTTGTTCGACTGAAGCCTTAAGGCTGCGATACTCATTTTCTCCTCCAGTGTAGGGTGTCAGCGTGGCTTTACACAACCAGGGTAGCTAGAACGGAGCGGTGTGAGATTCAAACAACAGAAACAAAGGTTTGGAATCAAGAAACCTTCTCCATAAAACTGGTTTTATTTTTTTTCTGTTAACAACCCCATCAAATCTGTGCAGACAATGTTGCTGATGGTCAGAACCAAAAATCAAAAAGGGCCTTTTATTGCCTTTTGTACCAATGACACTAAGGCTGGTTACAGTATGGGAAAAAATCCAGCTCTGCTCTTAGCTGTGCAGCCAAAAAGGGAAAACCATTGCTGATTACAGGAGCAGAGACACTGGGAACGGGTAAGTGGAAGATTATTTTGTACAGCATTGCTCTAAGAAAAAAATCTAAGGCTTCTCTTCACAGGAAAGTGATTGTGAAGTAACTAGATCGTCCGTGCAGGGGTCAGTAACGTTTCAGATTCCCCTTTCCCCACCCAAACAAGCCCAAAGGAAATGAACTTTATGGGGATCGGATGGGCTGTCCCTGGCTCCGTTCAGAAGCCGTCTGGAAGGGACCCTCCACCTTTCCCTTTTCTCCCCCACCTCTCCCAGGCGGGTGGCCCTGGGGCTCTGCTCACCATGCCATGGGGCTGGGGGCGTCGCGTCCCGTGCCCAGAGTCCCTACCACCAGCGGAAGTGGGCATAAGCCCGGTTGGCCTCTGCCATCTTGTGCAGCACGTGCTTCTTCTTGATGATAGGCCCTTCGTTGTTGAAGGCCTGGAGCAGCTCCTGGGAGAGCTTCTCAGGCATCAGCATCCGGCGGTTCTTGTTCTCCCTGCACTCGGTGATTAACCACTTCATGGCCAGGAAGCGCTTCCGATTGTCCTTCAGCGGGACCGGGACCTGGGAAAGGTTTAAACTGTAACAGTTATCACGCTGCGAGAGTGCAGTGACCTGCTGTACTCCAACAGCCATACAGGTCCAGGTCCAGCTGGACACCGTGCTCTGACTCCAGTGGCAGCGTGCTGCTCAGCAGTAAGACCAGCTCCCAACAGCTGACCTGTGCCACTTCACCTCCTCTGTCCATAGAAAACGGCCACTGCTACCAAAATGGAAATTCTGGGTCCTGCTGGCAGACACTGGCCTTTGAAGGGCTTCTGGGCTATTGGGGAGCTGGATCCAGGCTGGTTTGTGCTAGCAGGAGTTGGAGATGGTCACCACTGCCCGCACTGAACGACAGACATGCCTCCACATCTCATTTCTCCATCAGGTCTCGAGCGTTGCAGAGCCCACACTCAGACGCAGGTTCTGCTCGAGTTTCAAATATTGCACTGCAGTGACTTCTTCCGCTACGCTGACCCTCCCCAGGGCTTTGGGGCCTCTACCCAAGCAACATGATGCAGCAGAGAGGATGGGACTGGTAGTCCCAGGACTACCAATTCTTTTGCTGCCCATCACTGATCTCCATCTCCTTGGACAACATTTGCTGTGCACTCCTCATCTAGTCAGAGACCGCTGCCGACAGAGACATTACCGTGCTTACAGGCTGGGGACCTGATCTTGGACAGTTTCCTAGGTGCTGTTTTGATCCAGATTGCAAAGTGGCTCTTTCCAAGAGAGGAAAGCTGGAGCTGAAAGGGTGGACACCAGTCCATCTGCCTCCCTAGCAAATTCTCTCCCGACCAGATGTGCTCCCAGGCCTCCTCCCCTCTCACCTGGTAGGTTTTGCCTCCTCTTGTGATGCTGCTGAGCCCAATGATGGGCTGGCAGTTTTTCAGAGCCTGGTGGAAAATGACATAAGGGTTGCATTCAATTGTCTCCTTCTCATCTTCTGGAGCTTTGTGGTACTTCTCCAGCTGCTTCCTCTTAACGGCCTCTAGAGTCTTGGGACAAAGACAAGAAAGGAGACATGCAGAGCAGATGGATTATCCCACTCCACGAAGTTATATCACTTTTACAAGCACCCCATTTTCACATGAGCCTGCAGCTGGTTTTCTAGCTCTGTAAGCAGCAGGTCAGTCAGGGATTCTCTCAAGTTTTACTTCACCCTCTTCCAGATCTTCAGTCTCTTTATTGGACGTTGCATTTGGGGCAAGGAGGTGGAGACGGGAATGCTGGTCTGTGGGCACTAAGCATCCTCCCCTCCAAAGCCCAGACTCAAGAGCCCAGAGCCTGCCTGTTTTCCTGTCACAAGGCATCAGCAGTTACTTGGGGAACATTTGGGCAACGTGTGTCCCCATTTCAAGGGTTGGAACACACCAGATGGGACCAGCTAATGCCAGCTACGGTACGTCAGAGCAGGGGTCAAAGCTGTGTCATACGCAACACATTTATGGGACTTCACTGGCAAGTTATATAGAAGATAAGGCATGAAAGAGAGCTGAAAGGAAGATCTTTTGAGAAAATTATGCTTTTGAGGGTATGCTTTTTATGGTTTAGTGGTGGACTTGCTAGTATTAGATTAATAGTCGGACTTGATGATCTTAAGGGTCTTTTCCAACCTAAATGAGTCTATGATTCTACATAAGGTCCAAGAGACACTGAAGAGTGGAAAGAGCATGTTCTCCATTAAGCTGCGGCCACCTGCTCTGCGAGCTGAATGAGGTTGTACAAAATGTACGTCTGATCAGGTACCTAATGGTGAGAGTATTGTGTGCGCAGAGGGAAATGCGTTAGGACCCCAGAGATGACCTGAGTTCTGGTAATTCCCAATTGTAGCGGGCTTGACGTCCCAGCCTTCCATTTGTATTGTTTTAACGTAATAGTGGGAAGAAACATTGAGGTCTCACCTGAGCCATGAGGCTTCTGGCCAGCACTTTATTTCCATCCCTCATCATCATATTGGTGAATTTACTGTAAACACAAAGCCACACGCGACCTGATTTAAATTCTGATTTTATCACCCACAGAAATAAGCCCCCCCCGCCTTGTCTTGTTCCCATGGTTAAGCCTGGGTGCTGCTAGATCTGCTGTAATTATCTCTAATCGCTGTCAGTCCATGGACTGGCTTTGTGGGAAAAGATTAACCTGAATAAAGGGATTGTGCTGTAAGAGAAGGCAACGTGCAGCGCAGCAAGCGAAGGCTGAGGAGGACAGCGTAGCTCCCGAGCGTTTTGGCTCCATGGAACCTGGCTGTAACAGAGGAGGAGCTGATGCTTTCTCTGACCTGATCATAGGGTCGCTGAACACAGAGCTGGAGAGAGTGGGAGGAGCTGCTTTTATGGGCCGAACAGCCTTAAGCTCCATTTTTTCCTTTTCCTCCTCAGACAGCTCCTCTGGAGGTTTCTGATACAGTTCCTTGTTCACTTCTGGCTCTAAAAAATTGGGGTTGTAGCGACTCCACCTCACCTGCGTCAGCCTGCAAAGAACAAGAGAAGGAGGGCTGTCAACTGACACAGGCGATATATCGCGATGGCGACGTGGACGGATGCGAACACATCTCAGGACACGTCAGACTCGAGGGGCATCTCTGCCTTCCTCTCCATTGCTGCTCCCCTGGCTGCAGCAGAGCCAGGGGCACAAATCGACACCAAGGCCCACAGTTCTGCTGCAAAAACCATCGGGCAATCCCTGCGCCAAAGGGGCGGGTGGGGAGTCCCAGGCCGCAGCTCGAGGTGCTGTGGGACGGCAGTGCTGAG